AATCTACCTAACTTTGTGAAATTTTCAAATGTATGGAATTAATCCAATGCATATGCTTAGTCACAAGCTAACCATGTCTTTTTTCCTCACCATTCTATCCAGTATCAATGAAGAAAATTAGGGAAAAGGAAAGTAACAGAGAAGAGGAGATTTTTACCTAGCTAATCTCATAATCAAAAACCCACTCATGGTCCTTTTTCTTCACCGAGCAACCCTTTTCTATTCATCCCCTTCATGCCAAAAAAAGGAAACTAAGTTTCTGTGATAATAAAGAAACCCACTATAGAAAAAAAAAAAAAAAGAGGAAGAAATTTTCACCTATAAACACTAATCTAATGAATCCTAGCAACGTTTGTTGCCTAATTTTCTTTTCTCCTGCTTCTCTCTTCATCGTCCCTTACTATCTGTTCTATTCTCACACCCCAAGGGCCATCATGTAATACACACCCCAGCACTGAGCTCCTTTTTCTTATCACTACTTCAATCTCGTCCTGTCTGTTCAAATTTGGACACATGCGAACTCAGCCAATACCTTTTAAATCCTAATAGCCACCATTCTTATCAAAATCAACAGCAAATGTCCAGAAAAGACTTCATTCTTGATACCCAAAATCTGCACAACAAAAACAATTCAAAACAAAGAGCAAAAAATATGTACTTGGAGATATTAGTATCCACTCCAGACGCTTAAAGCAACCAAGCAAAGAGCACCAAAAGAAAATCAACACTCCGAAGATTTTACAATGGTAGCCGAATGCAAAACCATAGGGAGTATTGGCATTCAGGTGCTCAAATCTCAAAATCCAACCAAAACAAGAAAGTGATTTTCCTCTTTCATCACAACAATGACCAAAGATCAATCTTAGAAGACTTAACGAAACATGAAAATGGAAATCGATTAGCCAAACCCACAAATCCATTGTTATACTAGAGTCGGTGAGCAAGAACCGAGCCTCATTCAAAACCCTAAAATTCATGGAAATCGATTAACAATGTCAACTTTCAATTTTTTTCTATTTAAGAATCTCAATCTTCTAACATTTCAATGCATTGCCTATTTTAGTATCATTATCTAACTAATTTTTAAATAAAAAAATTAAAAATTAATATTCATAAAAAAATTAAAAATTAATATTTTTAAATTAAAAATAAAAAATTAATATTTTTATTTAAAAATTAATAAAATTAACATCACTGCATAAAAAAAACAAAATTAACATTCTTATATACACCTATTCTCGTCAAATTGAAAATTTTAGGTTTAATACCCAATTTTGTCCCTAAACTTTCATTTCAGAACTTAGTTCATCCTTTAACTTCAGAAAGCACACAAATGGTCCTTTAACTTCATTTTTCTAGAACCCAAATGGTCCTTCCGTTGACAGACTGCATAGTTGGCACGTTAAGTGTCCAACAATTACCACTTCTAATTTTTTCATGCCTACATGGAAAAACCAACTCAGCCAATTGATGATATAGCACCATTTTCAGTCCACATTTGATTTTTTTGTCCCTCCAGCCTTTCTAAATAAAACAAAATAGTGGGCAAACATGTCATTGTCTGCCTTTATCGATGCAGACTCCCCTTCCTCTTAGAGATTCTTCACTTTACTCGCTGTTTCCTTTGCCCCTTTAAGCCCTAGATCCTTTGTTCTTCGAAACCCCCTAAATCTTCTGGTGATAACCGACAACCATTCCGGCATTTGCTTCCATGTTTCCAGCTGCTCAGTTTCCAGAAATCAAGAAAGCTTGCTTCCTGCAATCGATGATGCCTGCAGATCAAACTGATTCCTTCTTCTTCGACCCATAAATCCTCATTGTGAGCGATAATAATCAAGTTGGTGGGATTTTAACAGTTGAACAAACAGTGAACGGGATGTTACCCTCAGATGCATCTGACTTTGTAAAGATGAAGCAGATAAATGATGCTAAACTGATGCACAAAACTGAAATTGTTTCTGATAAAGGGTTTTTCAATAGTTCAATATCAGGCCGACCTTTGAATGGGTCTGCAGAGAAACCTGACAAAGGTTCTCATATGTCAATTGGGCTAAGTGAAGGCTGCTAGAATGTTGAGAAAACAGACAAAGTAAAATCAGGTTAGTTGCTTTCACTTGTTTGCCTCTGCATCTATGGGTCAAATGGTTGCTAGCAGTTGGGTTTATGATATTTTTTATAGTCTCCTTTATGGTAAATCAAAATCAATAATCTCTAGCTACTGCCCCTCCCCCCCCCCTTATCCCCCAAGAAAATGAAATATGCTAACATTCTGAATCTCTGATAGAAAATTATCAGGTGCAATGTAGGAAAAGCATACTTCTTTTAAGTGTAACAGCTTTTAGGTGATGCAATGAAAGAAGGTGTCGGAGCTCTGTGAGCTTCTAACTGCACGCCTGCATGCTAATTTCTTTGACGTTTGAGTTGCATCATTCTCTTTGTATTCTTACTTGAGGAGATTTCAGTTTCTTGAAAGGTTTACCTTTTGTTCCTGCAAAAGTGAGAAGTTTCCTCTTCTTTTCTTTTTTCAATATGCAGTTCCCCACTGGTTTATTTAGAAGGTGGGAGAGGCGGGAGAGGCGGGAATCAAACGTGGATTGAAAATGGTGCTATATCATCAATTGGTTGAGTTGGTTTTTCCACATAGGCATGAAAAAATTAAAAGTGGTAATTGTTGGACACTTAACGTGCCAAGTATGCAGTCTGTCAACGGAAGGACCATTTGGGTTCTAGAAAAGTGAAGTTAAAGGACCACTTGGGTACTTTCTGAAGTGAAAGGATGAACTAAGTTTTGAAATGAAAGTTTAGGGACCAAATTGGGTATTAAACCAAAATTTTAAGTCGGTTCTCGCGTCTTCTTCATCCTCTCCTACTGGAAACGGGAAGGAAATCTTCTTAATCTTGCCACCACTTTTGCAGCGGTCAACTTTTTCCCCTGTTTGAGTCCTGATTCCTCCACCGGAGCTGCGAAATTCGAAATTTTGATGGAAAAGGAAAAATCTGTCCAGGCCGTAGCGGCCTCTCTGAAGAAGCTCGATTTGAACCCTAATCATCAAACCCCCGAATCTCCTGCTCTCGTGCAGTCTCTGAATTCCTCCAGTACG